CTTAATTTCTTTGGCTTTCTGCTATGGAGAGTAATGTAACTGGTGAACTTAGTGGCACATCATTATAATGATAAGGAGGTATCGGATTTAGGATAAATCATACTCAAAAAATGGTAATACCTAGTAGTATATCTATTCCTTGAAGCTGGTATAACAAACTTTAACAAGAAAGTCTTAATTTTCCTAAAATATTCTGGGGTTTTAATTCTAGTATAATTCTTGGTAATCTGTCTTATTAATGAACTGCAGTTTATTACCAGCTATTGAGCCAGTGATTTGATAAACTTCTTATACATAAACCTATTAACATGCTAATAACTTGTATTTTTAATGCCTGTCAAAAGAATGGCCATACTTATTTTTATTCTGGATAAATTGTATCTTGGTTCTTGATGAGTATATTTTCAAATCCCTAATAAATTGGGAAAAAAAGATGAAGGCTTATAAAAGATGACACAGAAAGAATGATTGTCTAAATTACTTGTTTTTTACATTAAACATTTTATAAGGAACACAGCACATTAAAACAAACTAGAATGTTATCAGTTTATTAATGCATTTCAAGTTACATAATTATTATTGCATGTAAGATAATCATTAACAGTCTATAGGCCAGGCCTATTGAAATGATACATTTTGATGTTTTCTTCTGACATTTTTTCTGTTATTAAAATAACATTTCATCTAAATATGTGTATATACATTTCACATTCTTGCAAGCATATTAGATTATGAATATTTCCATTGTTATTAAATATTCTTCAAATTGAGTTTTATTGGCTGTTGAGTTTCTTTATTGTACTGATACAATCAACTAATTTCTATTATACTTATGAATCTAATTTCTTAGAAGTAATGTTAAATGAGCATGTTATAGATAATCTCTGATTTAATTTAAATTCTAAGAAAAGGAACTACTGAATAAAAGGTTTTTAATGTTTTTAATCATTTTGAGATATTTTATAAAATCATTTTATTGAAATTTTAACTGATATATATGTCTACAAAAATTTTATGCCTGTTGCACACTTACTGGCATTTAATATTTATCATTTCTCCTACTATTCTGATGAGCTAAAGTCTGAATTTTACATAAGTATTGGTGATGGTATGTCTTTATAAATGTGTAAATAATTTGCCATTGTGTTACTAACTCATTTTCATATTTGTGGTTAGTATATTTTTAACCTATTTAATGACTTTTACTTAATCTAATGTAAATCTTTTCCTTGGTAAAGTTCATCATACTTTAATCAGTTACATAATGTTTTTTTCTTTATCTAAGTGTTTTTAATCTCCATTAGTCCATGAAATAATATTCTGTTCTGAATTTTAAGTAGCACTGTTGTCAGAATGTGAATTGAAAATTGAAATTTTTTCTATAGCAGTTAACCGTTTTCCCTGAGTATCATGTATTGAATATTTTTAAAAACTTTCTAATCACCTGCTAAGTTTTACTTGATTATGATTATAAGAGTGAAACACAAGTTTTTCTTTGTGTCTGCATACATATTTCATAAATGTATATGACAGTGGGACAGTTTTTGTACCCCTTTGGATATAACCAGTATATTTAAGTTTATCCCAATTATTTTATTTCTAATTTTATGCTTTTGGCCCTTGAATTTTTCAAGGTTGTTTTGTGCCTTTAATTGTTTTACAATAATCATTTAGATTTAATTCTACATTTAACTTATATCACTGCTTATAACCTTACTTTTATATCCTTCAGAATCTTAATTTACATTAAGTAAAAGCATTGGAGACCGTGTATAATTTTAAGAAGACAGAGATGCATATATTTTCTGAGCTCTTAACCTTTTAAATTTTTTGATTATATTACAACTGAATAAATTAATTAGACATAATATTCTTGAAGAAATAACAATTTTCCTTTAAAATTATGGAAATAATAATCCATAAAGAAGTGGAATTCTCATGAAACTATTTATTTCATGTGTAATTTTTCACTCCCTTGAGTGACTGTAAAGTAATATAATTTGAATTCATAAATCCTTCTTTATAATCTGCATTAAATGCAATGCTGTACTATTTTAAGATTATCCCTGTCACATGGGAAAGTCATTTATATTTATATATTAGTAAGGAAACTATACTAGATATCTCCATGATTCTTTCCAGTTTAGAATGCTACCTATTCTAAGGTTGTGATTGGTGTAGCATACAAGAAATTGCCCTGTCCATGCATCCTTTCCATTCTGTTAGGTATTTACTCACTTATTTTCATAATTACATTTTTATCAGACTCATCAATGTAAAAGATCAGTCATATGTGAGATAGAGACCTTATGTTCTGTCTCTGTTAATCCTTTCAAAAGAGCATAACCTCTCACCAGAAGAAGAAACATTTACTGAAAAATGTCAACTAATGTGTCTACAACTTTATTTACTGCAACTGATTTGCGTATGCACATCTCTTATTAAAGATAGTACTATTTGTTTCCATACTTATGAGTATAAATATTGTTTTAAGTATAAAAGTGTTTTTTCCACTATGAAGTTTATTGCTTAAACATTTATATATACTAAAATAATGTTAAACTTTTTCTTATCAAAAAATATCTTTACGTTAATCTACCTTTTAAGCTTAGAAGAATAATGTTATTTTTTTCCTATGAACCAGTAAAAATTTTACCAAGTGAACTTTGTCTCCTTTACTAGTTATATTAATCTCAAGTTTAATGAAGTAAAAATGTGATTATCTAACACAATCTAACTTTTAATTAATTTGAACATACGTACATCAGGCTCTAGCAAGGACTGTTTTAGGGATATTTGAGTTCAAATTTAATTTTAAGACATTAAAGAAATAGTATTATAATTGGAAATATGTGGATATTAAATGATTATTTTAATAAACTTGTAAAATAACAAATATTACTTAAAAAGATGGTGTAAATAATTTTTTTACTGTTCAACTAAGGAAAGAAATTATTTGGTAGCAAAGCAAGTGAAAAATTAGCTCTGTGTAATTTATTTGAGAATACTTCATGAAATGTTATTGTAAAAGATATTGAGAAAAATATATGTAATGAGATCTCTTAAAATCTTTTTTACATGGAAAATCAATCACCCATTGGGAAGCAGGATATGAGAAAATTTGCTAAAGGATTTGAGTACTAGTTAAGGGCATTTAGAAATTAATGCAAATACAGTGGCTTCAAAAGATTTTAATTACTCCTGATCTTGGCAGAGAAATGTGAATGCTTAGATAAATATTAGGCTGTTACTGTACATACAACAAGCACATCTTTTCTATAAAAGTAATAAGTAAACATAATTTTTCCTTGACTGTTTATAAATCATGCAAAATAATAAATGAGAATTATCTTACGTTTTTAACAGCTGGCATTATGGTGGTACTTACCATCTCAGTACCAGCTGAAGTAGCAAGCTGTTTAGAAACCATATGTCTGTCATGGTATACAGTATGATTTAGGTCAGAAATATCACTCAAACCTCTCGTGAGCTCAGTAGCAGGGATTTTGATCATGGGACTCTGTCCACTAATCATGTCAGAAGTTGAGTGCATTGTTGGGAGGTGAGGCCTGGTTAGTCACAGGGACTTGACCTGCAAAAGGGTACAGTTAGTTCCCTCTCTGCCTCTTCTCTTTACTTTCTGCTTCCTGGCTGCAGTGATATGAGCAAGCCGCTATCCTTCCCTCAGACTCTTCAGCCATCACCACGTCCTTTCAGCCTTGGGACCAGCTGACCGTAGACTGAAAGTGTGAGCTAAAATAAACCTGTCTTCCTTAAGTTGTGGGTGCCAGGTATTGTGTCTCAGAAAGTGACTAAGACAGCACATTAGCACCTGCAGGAAATAGAAACAAATCACTTATGGCTACCAGAGTTTATTCCCAGATTCCAGCATCTATGTGACCTTAGGCAAGACCTTTAATGTCACTGAATTCCATTTTCACATTTGCAAAATGGATACTAACAGGGTTGTAGTAAGCACAAAATCAGGTAATACACGAAAACTATTTAAGCATTGCAAAAGACATTTTTGTTCCAAGAGACAATTTTTAAAATATTTGTTAAGCACACCTTATGTAGATATTTATTACTTCAAATAGAGTTTAGATTGATTTATAAAATGGTAGATGAATACACGATGACCACTTTAAGTCACCTGTTGACAAAGAATTATTTCTTCTTGGACGTTACCTTTCACTAATAATTTAATTCAGTAAGGTGGCAGATCCAGACCTGGATCCCTGATTTGGTTTGTATTGCCCCTGCATGAGGATCCCGAGGACCCTTGAGTTACACCAGGGTGCTCAGTCTCTCCTGCAACACACTATGAAATAAGTCATCATTAGAAATGATGGCCCAAGCTGAAATTCTGTACACAGAACTAGCTTCCATATTTAGACTTTTTATTTGGGGTTGGTTTTTTTTAATCAGGAAGCTTATTTATGATGAATATAGATCTTATTTGAAATTACTATTGCTACAGCAATTTTTGGTTTACAGAGGCAAAAAAGCCAAGCAACATTTGGAGAAATGGAGGGAACCAAGCTCTATCATGCTAGTGGGCCCAGAAGAGTTCAGCGCTCCAAAGTCTGAGCCCTGAGCCTGGGCTGTGAGAGCTTTATATATGGCCTATGGCAGGAAAAGCAAGTGAGCTGACAACAACAAAGGCAGTTACTTGAAGGCCACAGGTTTATGTTACTGCGTATTTGGGTGGCCTCTGCCGGCCATAGAGTAAGTTATTGGATGTGGTGAGGCAGTTTATCAGGCCAGGGTGCAGCTGGTGTGGGAAAAGAAGGGTGAGTATCAGCAGAGGGTGTCAGAGTTAAAAAGCTTCATTTTCCCCAACATTGTGTTATGCTTTGCAAGCAAAGTGGAAATCTATTTTTCCCTAGGGATCTTTTTAGAGTGTTTGGAGACAATTCTCATAGAAAATGACTTATACATAATAATGCTGTTGTTTTAAACGTATGTATATATTTATAATAAATGTTCCCCTTCTCTAGAACTGGGTAGATAAAGCTGAAAGTCAGACCCTTTTTTCTGATACGCTGGACCTATCAGAACTCTTCCATCCAGACACATTTCTTAATGCTCTTCGCCAGGAAACTGCAAGGTAATTAAACATGAAATACTTATATTTCTCTGAAGGTGATTATATTCTGCTTTGTTCTTTTCTGGTCACACTATCATGCTTGTCAAGAAAAAACATTTGAACTCCAGACAGTTATGTTATTCCTTAATATTCTACTTTTAACAATACTTAACTATTTAAAAAGCATGTTGCTTTGTTATTATTTTTATTAGAGCTGAAAAAAGATTAAATTTAACTTCTAAAATTTGACCATTTATTTTATCTAGATCTCAAGTGTCTGATATGATAGCCAGAAGTCACATAGAACTATTTAAAATTTAATTAAATAAAATTAAAATTTGAGTTTTTTAGTCGCATTAACCATATTCAAAGTGCTCAAAATACACATGTGGCTATCATTTTAGACTGCATGCTGACACATTTATCTAGAAAATTCTACTGGACAGTAGTGATGAAGCTTCTTGGTAGAAAATAAGACCTGATGCTTAAGATCAAGTTCCTTTATGAGAAAAAATTTTGATCATTATATCATGTTTAGACTATAATTTTTAGTAAGTTAGAAGGTACTGAAAAAGTACCAGATATATACTAAATAAAACTTACTTGCTTAATGACTCTAGAAATTTTAGCTTATATTGTTTTAGAATGTTATTAGACTCTAGAAATTTTAGTTTGTATTGTTTTAGAATATTATTAGTTTCAGTTTTGCTAAGAACTATTTACTGAACACCTGTTACATGCTGCATTTAAGGGTCATGGTCAAAATGAAGAATAAAGAATGAAAAAGATGCTATACATGAGGACTGACATATAAACAGTTAACTGTAAAGACAGTGTAAAATAAGAAACAGGTATAATAAATCTTATTTGCATATGGTAGATATTTCAATTTAATTCATACTGAGGGCTTTATTTTTGGTTCTGGGGATTTCACCTGGGGCTTCACACATGCTAAGCACAAGCACATGCTCTATCATGGCCCTGCACACCCTGAGAATTTTTTGTGATGTTTGATGCTTTACTTTTGTAGGGCAATGGGTCATTCTGTGGATAGCCTTAAATTTGTAGCCTCATGGAAAGGTCGGCTTCAAGAAGCAAAGCTGCAGATTAAGGTACTAATTTTGGATGTTTATCTGAGTTAAAAATGTATCACACCAAGATAAGGGATTCTAAAAGTCCACACTTACCTTTACAGTTTCAAGATTAACACAGAATTATTTTTTACATAGGTAATATGTTGTAAGTAATTTAATACTTAATATAAAACACAAGGAGTTCTAATGCAAAAATATTAATACCACCAATTAAAATATTATCAGTTTGAGGAAAATAAATCCAGTTATATACTATTTAAAAGTATAGACCTAAATCATGGCAACACAGATAATTTGAGGGGAAAAATGGAAAGTTACATGAAAGTACTTACTAGTGAAAAGGTTAATAATGTTCCTATATAAGATGTGTCTACTTAAAAAATGCAAATTTCCTTTAAATGAATTTTAAAACTTTAAGACAATTTCAACAAAATTCTGAATTTTAATACTTGGAACTCATTCTTCATTTGCATTCTGCTAGATCAGCTATACTGGAAAGTCCACACAGGTTTCACTCACATATCTGGAAATTTGTGCCAGCTATGGACTGAGGAACCTTGGGTCTTCTCCACCTAGCCTCATATGCTCCAGCAGACAAGATAAGCTTCCTTATATTGTGGTCTCAGTGCAGCATTTCAAGAGGATAAGGCCTTTAAAGTCTTGCGCTCGAAGTTGCCTAAAGTCTTTCACCTATATTCTGTTGCTCAAAGGAAGTTAGCAAGTCCACCCTAAATTCAAGAGATAGAAAGCAACTTACCTCCCAATAGCAGCAATAGTTTACATATGAAGAGGTTTCCCTACTAAAATGGGAGGAAATTTTGGCCATACATTTCATAACCCATTACACTGTTACATTATTACTAAACTATAATTATTAATATAATGAAAGACAGAGGGACTAATAGAACACAAGAGAGTCCAGAAACAGGGTTAAGCCTATTATGGAAACTTGACATGTGAAAGAAGTGGTGGTCATTATAAATTGGGAGAATGTGTAGATTCTTTGTTAAGTGATTTTGAGACAATTACTAATGGAAAATGGTAAAATCTGGTATATACTTTATATCATAAATAAAAATTGATTCTGAAGACATAAAAAGCAAAGTTAACAGAAATAAAACTTTTTTAAAAGACTTAGAAATAAAGTAGGGGAAAATGTCTGTATTCAAGATTTTTTTAAGGCCCCACAAAATAAGAACCTCAGGAAAAAACTGATAAATTTGCTGTGCTGAAACTGAAAAGACAACATAAAAATTGAAAACACAGATCACAGGCTTGGGAGATGCTTCTTAAATTACTGACAAAGGATTTGGATTGCATGGGTATCTGAGATTCAGCACTCTGGGAGTCAGAGGTGAGAGGATTGTGAGTGGGAGCCCAGGCTAGAACAAGGGCTCAAGGGCCAGAATAGTTTACAAAACAAAGGACCAGTCTTTTTTTTTTTTTTTTACAGGTACCAGGGATCAAACTCATGACCAGGTGCTTGCAAGGCAGGCACTTATGCCGCTGAGCTAAATCCCAGCCCCAAAGGACCAGTCTTTAAGAACCATTCCCACAGTAGAAAGACGTGGGCAGAGAGTTTTAATAGACAATATATGAGAAGAGAAAACCTAAGTGGGCTAATAAACATGAGGAAAAATACCTAATCACACTTGTAAATGGAAAATGAAACTAAGCCCAAAATTTGGTTTCATTTCATGCTTAACTGATTGGCAAATTTTATGTCTCAGTAGGCTAAACACTGCAAGGTTATGGCACAGTGTAATTGTTATTATGACATGACAAGGAGGAATATAGATTGGTAGGATTACTTTGGGGAATATTTTCCAGTATCAAGTAAATTTGAATATGAGTACACCCTTCAACTTAGCAATGTCATCTCTGTACCCAGAGAATCTCACGCAAATGTGCATAAAGAAGTTCGTACATAATTTTTATTTCTGTTTTTAATAATTGGAAATAAATATTTACATTTTTCCTAAGTACTAATAATTTCCTAAGAATAATGTAGCTGAAAATTGTCATATATCGTCCAATTTAAGGTGTGTTTCTTTGACTTGAAATTGTACAGATAATTTACAGATATTTCTCAATTTATGACAGGATTATGTCCCAATTAACTCATTGTTAGTTAAAAATATTAAGTCACATGCATTTAATACAGCCCTAACCTACTCAACATAATAGCTTAGCAACACAGATTACATTATAATTATTGATTCTTTATCTTTGTGATCATGTGGCTGACTGGAAATGCAGCTGCCCAGAATTGTGAGGGAATATCCTACTACGCATTGTTAGCCCACAGAAAGATTCAGTGTATGATTTCTACTGAGTGTATCATGTTTGCAGTATTATAAAGTTGAAAAATTCTTAGTTGAAATATTGTGATTGTCTATAGTATGTTAAAACTTGGTGATGTTATATAATATTTATAAGAGTATATTTTGGTACCAAGTACAATCTGTGCTATGAAGGTTAAATGTTGAACAACTACAGACCCAAAATACATTTCCCTAATTGCCTTTAGATATGTAAATATAACACTGGAAAACTAAAAGAATAAGCACTAAGAAATGTGAAGCTAATTTTTTACCAAAGAACTATAGTTTTAGAGTCAGAATTTCCACTTGCATCAAACTTACCTTATAGTAAGATATTCTTTCTCCTTTTTTTATTCTTTCATTTCTATGTGGCATGTTAATGTTTTTCTCATTAAACATTCTGAATTTTTTAATGTTAGGATTCTAAGCAAGAAGCATATATTTTCTAATTATACTTTGTTATATTTCCATAATTTAATGGCAAGGCATATAATTGAACACATCTGTAGTTTATGCTAAAATATTAACTAAAAATGAGAACTCGTTCTAAAAACATCTCTTAGTAACCACTGATCCAGATCTTTATATTCCAATAAAATGCTATAATACCTCTTCATAGTATTGAGGATACCTCATCACAGGGGAAAGTGGGGCCTTTGTACTCGAGATATAATATAGTGACTCCTAATATTTCAGAATTTAATATATTTTGAATGATTTCTGTGTTTTCCATGGCAGATCAGTGGTTTATTACTAGAAGGATGCAGTTTTGATGGTAATCGACTTTCTGAAAATCATGATGATTCTCCTAGTGTGTCATCAGTTCTCCCTTGTTTTATGGGCTGGATTCCACAGGTAATGCATCATTAACAGGCATAATTTTTAAATTGCTAATTCACTTCTAACTTTTTATCTTTTCAGAAAGATAAATTCTTGGCTGTCAATTTTTTGTTTGCTTTGTAATATTACTGCATTTGAACAAATTTTCAGTCAAAGTATTTTATCCTTATAATTTTTATGGGGTATTTTTAAAATGTTGTTTTGAAAAGAATAATGGTTTTAAAATCTAAAGAATATATAGCCTTATAAGGAAAAAGTCTAATGATAAGAACTACTGTGTATTATTGTGTGCCTTATTTTCAGCAATGCACTGGGTGCTTCATATACCATATGTGCTTATCCAAGCTGCTGTGAAAAACAGGTATTCTTACTTTCAAATAAGTAAACATGTGCTCATGCAGGTTAGAAACTTCCCATAAGCCGAAATATAGAAACCAAGGAGTTATACATGTTTTGAGCTTTGTAACACACTATGGCAGTTACACAGTTGATAGACAAATGGAGATAAAGTTTTCACTTACTAAAAAAATTTTCATCAGTAGAACTTCGAGTTCTATATACCTGTAAAGTAGGACATGGCTATCGATGTAACTTTTTCTTAATTACTAAATTTAAGAATGTAAGTATGAATATATGTGAATAAAATTTAATCCTACATCTAATGAGTAAAAACACTTTCAGTGAGTGGGGCATGGTGGCTCACACCTGTAATCCCAGCACTCTCAAAAGGCTGAGACAGAATCATTGTGAGTTTGAGACCATTCTGGGCTACAAAGTGAACTCAAGGTCAGCCTGAACTACATAGTGAGACCCTGTCTCAAAAGCCGAAACAAACAAAAGACCTATTTCATGTACTGCTCACTCCCCAAATACATTTTTTGTCATTGGAAAATAACATTGAATTTTCTACTAATAGTTTCTTTTTCTAAAAATCAAAAGCATCTGAATATTTTAGAAAATGAAAACAAAACCTAAATACGTAATAATAATTAGCAATCATTTCTCAGAATATTCTCCAGCCTAGAAGAGCATACACATTATTGTGAAGCCTGTTTTCCTCCTATATCAGATTCATTTTCTCCAGTATTAGGGTGAGCTGGATGAATAAAAGAAGTTACTATTTGTTTTATTTCAATCTTCATATTAATTCCTATAAGAAATTACAGTGCAAAGTTGATAAATTACAGAAGAAACATTTCTTGATCTTAGGTTTGTGGACTAAATTGAAAGTTAGGAACAAAAGTTGAGGCTAGAATTTGCCCAAGGTTTTAGCTGTATCTTTTGAAATCACACATGATGTAGGTGAATCTTAATGATTCCACATTGTGTGATAATTCTGTAGCAAATAAAAGTCATGTAATGATTTTGGTGGTAGGAGATAAAATAGTTACACAGGTGTTAACTGGTTTACTGAAGAAAACCTAGCAATAAAAATAGAACATGGAAAATGACTAAAATAAAGGAAGCATATGACCTAGACAAATACCCAACTAAGCCACCACAAACTAATGCAAATAGGAATACAATGCTATTATGGAAAAATCTGGAGTATTATTCAGTTGTATAAAAAGGAGTGGACTTTATAAAACTGGTAACTTTGCGTTAATTTACATCATTTATATATAATTATATTTTTCATATCTTAAAAACTTAGGACAGGCATAAAAAGTAAAAATAATTTGAAAATGAGCTCATCTGAAGAAAGCTAAAATGAGTTGTGTTTAACCTATAAAAGATAATACATATTTTTCCTACTTTATGTAAGGGATTCTTCCTAGGCTTTTGCACTTTTGCAGTCACATGTAATGGAAACAATTTAACGGAGCTTCTCTGCCTTCATTTTCCCCTCAGATCTTTAGAGTAGGCCTCTTTCTGTATCAGTCGACAGCTTTCAGACTATTTTCCAAAATCAGATCAGAAAAACATGAGACATTTTGCTAAGTGTTTCAGAACACAACATTTTGGAGTCCAACAGACCTTAATTCCAACTCCAGTGCCTAAATTTATAAAGTAGGCAATTTAAGCAAAGTAACTTCACTACGCCTGTTTTCTCTTTGAAAATGATATTTTATAAGACCATGTTGAAGATTATATATACTTATATGTGCATAATTTATCTACATTGTCTTACACATAGAAAGTATAGTCCTATTGCCAATATTTTAAAAATGTTTAATAATATGATAATTATCTTGTTTCATATAGTACTTTAGAGTTTACTGGTGTTTTCATTCATCATTAAATGCTTGCTGAATATTTATATACAAGATACTATGCTGTACACTGATACTACAAAGATGAATTTCTCCTATCAGAATGTCTTTTTGACCAGAGAAAGACACCATTATAGTTCACAATTATAATTGCAATTATGTAGGTTTATATAACAGAGCTTTAACAACTCTACCATGAATGAGCAGATGAGGAAAAGTCAAAGCTTCCTCTTACAGCGTCAGCAACCTCTCTTGAACTGTGACTTGAAATAGAAGTAATGGAGTTTAAGGACAAATTCAAACAAGGTAGAAGGTAAGACATAGAGAGGGCTGCAAATTCATGGTGTTAGGAAAGAAATGCTTCTGAGGTCTGGTGCTATAGTGTATCTGGAGTGTACGGTTCACATGGAAGACTTGTAGATGTGTTCAGAAATGAAGGCAAAACTAAGTTGCATAGCAGTGCCAAGGCATGTAGGCCACTTTATGGCCATTAGAAAACCACAAAGATTTTAGAATAATAGCATGGTAAGATTGCAGCGGCAAACACAAACACTGAGATGACATCCAAGATTTCGAGGCAGATTTATTTATGTCAGTAGGCACTGAGCAAGATCATCTCAAAATATCAGATCTCGAAGGCTTAGGGAAAGAGGTATTATGGGACTGAAAGGGGGGAGGTATTTTCTGCTACAAAATCAGTTCTGTGAGTTTGCTTGAACACGTTTTCTGTCTTGTTGATAAAGAGACTTGAGCATTAAATAAATTATTTATTGTAAGCAACAATACTAGTATTAATCTGTGACTAATAATCAGAATTTTTTGTACCTATTATGTACAAAGCACTGTTCAAAGTGTTTACAAAATACTAACCCTCACAAAATTTTTGAAATAGAAATTTTCTTTCTAAACTGAATAGAGGAAAATATTGTACAAGTTGTCTAATAACACATGTTAGTAAATAGGCAATAGATTCAAATCCAAGCCTGTCTCCCAAAGTGCTGACCTAATGCTGAGTCATCCTAAAGGTGTAAATCAAGGCTGGGAACTATGGCCCAACAGCCACATCCAGCATTTTTTCAACAGCCCATTAGCATTGAATGTTTCTTTACGTTTTTAAGAGGTTGAAAAACTCAGAATAAGACTTGGTGACCTGTGAAAAATACTGTATATGAAATCCACATCTCTCTACCCATAACCTTTTGTTGGGAGGCAGCCTTGCGCAGTGTGCAGGTGCACAGCTGAGGCTGCTTTAAGGCAGTAGAGCTGAGTGATCGTCTCACAGATCGTGTAGCCCACAAATCATAGAACATTTACCCTCTGGCCTGTCATAAAGATGTTTGCCAACCTGTGTAAACTATTAAACTCTCCATCCTTTGTTTCAATTATACATTGTTTTGTTCATGAAAGTATTTTTATAGGGAAACTGTGATTATTTTTAATGTATTTTATAGAAGCCGAAGTTGAAAAGATTAACATTTTAATGAATTTTATCCAGAGAGAAGGAACCAACATGAAATAGAAAGCATAAACATCCATTTCTATAAGCCAGTGGAAAGTTAGTTTTGCCTTCAGGACGTGCAGACTTTTTTAATAAGTTTGGATAAAAAAATACAAATTGGAATTATAAATTCTCAAGGAAAACTGAAAGTAGGAAAAATGCTGATTGGTGGGTTCCCTGGAGTTTGTGTTCACCATTATCTATGTGTACGAAGACATAACTTGTGCTGATTCTGTTTGCTTATACCTTCATTCATTCAGGATGCAGATTCTTAATATTATTGCAGCTAGATACTATTGGTTAATTTAAGTCAAACTAAAATAGCCAAGGAACTTAGCCGCGAAAAGCATTAATTTTTTTCTAAAGCACTTCCCAAAATGTTTCCAGATAACATTATTCTATAGTAGTTCTCTGTGAAAAGTGGTCCAATAAACAAATTTAATAAATACAGTATTTGCTCCTCATTGAAAAATTTTGCATTAAAAACTGAGAAGTCCTCAAATTACCAACCATACAACTTTTTATACACTTCATTCTGCCCCCATCAGGATGCAGAATTCTACAAAATATGATTTGGGAAACACTGATGCAGAGCAGTATCAGGAGTCTATTTTGACATTCCACAGGAATTCAGCTAGCTTTGTAAATGTATTTTTTATGGTTTTGTTTTTGTTGTCCTCTCTGGTTTTTGACTAAGTTGTATCTAATGTGTTTTTCCTTCATAAAATGTATTTTTTCTTCCCAATTATTAGCATTATTGCTATTATTTGTAGAACACCTGTACTTTTCAGTCACTTTGCCTGAAGCATAAAAGTTAATTTTGTTGTGAGACATTTATACTTTTCTTGGAAAATTTAGGCAAGCAGATAAATTATGCAGTACACTTCTCTACATAACAAATTTTTGCCCATGAAAAGCTAATTGACCCAAATGAGTATTCAGTTTCAGATTTTAGCTTGTTAAACAATACGATTGGACTAGTTTTTCCTATTTTAATAGAGTTATAGTGTTTGAGCACAATAATCACTATAATCATAATATATAGGTTCTTAGTTATTACGTTTTAGTTATACAATATTTTGTTTATATGTACTATTCTTTTCAGAGACAACTTTTCTGTTTTTAAATTGGTAGAAAACTTACTTGAAGTCTTTTGCATTAACAGTGTATTCATTGATAGTTAAAAAAATTTTAATTTTATCCAAATATTTTAGCCCAGCAGTCTTATGCTTTGCCTGTTCAGATGAATGCATGAAAGAGGGAATTGGGTCATAAGCATAACATTCAGTGAAGAATTTTAAAAATTTAGCTATGCTTTTATTTTGATCATTTTCTTTGTGAATTAAGAACAAGTCCCCTCAACTTTTTTTATTTAAAGATAAAAAGAAATAAAAGCAAAACAAAACAGAAAAAAGGGTAGAAATAATACAAAATTTCAAAGAAAAATATTAACACTAAGAAATTACTACTTGATAAGTTACATATTGTCATCTTAAAAATAGTAGTTCAAGTTACAAAATCAAAGCATAAAACGTGGACACTCAAACATTGACAGTCTCCCTCAACTTTTTCACAGAGGTAAGAACATTTACCAGTTCAGAAACTGTAAAAAATGAGAAGCAAAGAAGTGTCAATTTTCAAGAAGCCTGTGTGTTGTTTTCCTTTAAAATATTAGCCTTTGAGAGAAAGATTTGACACTTCACTTTAACAAACGCAGCCTACAACTACAATAGGTGTGGAAGGATTTGGAAATAAGGCACAAAATTAACTTGCATTATTAAGGTCCTTGATTAAAGGGAAGTTTTCTTGGCATTACAGTGAAGAGATTTAAAGGCAATCTCCTCACTAGAAAGGAGCTTTGCAAAATATTATAATGTTTCTACTTCATTTTTGATAATGTAATGGAGAGCAAAGCAAATAGCAGTAGAGAATGATAATTTAAGACCTTTCCTAGGATTAAAAGTCATCATATACAGATTCAGATCACTTCAGTGCAACAAATATGAAAGAATCTGGAGACTAAAAGGCTAAAGAATCTAGAGACAACTCCCGAAAGCCTGTACTAGATTATTCTCCTAGATTGGCCTGAAGAATTATCATAGTTAGAGGAATTTTTGAATCCTAAAGCTTTATCATTAAGCAGAATTAGAGAAGAAGAGATAGTCAGTGACAGATAATAGTTGAAAGTTCTCTTTACTCCAGTGCCTACATTTTTCTGCAGCCCAATCAGGATTCATTCTCTCCACAAGTTTTCATTCAGTTAACAAATTCTAGAATAGTATTTTTGGTTTTCAGTTTCAAAAATACACATTTTGCCAAAAATTATATTCTAAATATATGTGTGCATATTGTTTCCCAAATTGAATTTTAAACCATAAAGAATATTGTTTTCTCTATTTGTCTATACTTCAAAGCTCAGGCTTTATGATTTTAGGCATAAATATGAGCATATAAAATGCTGGTAAGTGGGTAGCTGAATTACTAAGAGAAATCATCAATGCAAACAAAAACACTTGGTAAAATTCGAGTTGGATAATGTTTATATCTGGGAGATGATTCTACCTGCAGAGTGAAATTTGTTATATGTTCTTTGGGTTAAGATTTAAGAATGCAAGGAAAGAATAATTTGTCAGAGGAACTTCTATGATTTTTTTCAAGGACCTGAAGACTCAGAAAAATATCTGTGTGTGTGTGTGTGTGTTTGTGTGAATTTTGTAAGAGAGGGAAAGAAAGGAAGTCACTGTGCGCCTCTGATGGAAACTTTAATAACATCTATGGAGTTTTTTTTAAGAAATGAATTACAGTTTATCTCTAGATCCAGCTTGAAGAAATGAACACAGGCACATGATACTAAGGGACTGTAACCATAAAGCTCAGAATATGCTACAGTATTGTCACAAGGATAACTGAAGGCAAAAAAGGAAGAATCATAAAGTTATGAGATTTAAGGAATAGCAGTACATTGTAAGGTATAAGTTTTATTTGAATTATGATACAAAAAAACCTCTATTCCTAAATTTTAATGAAGATTTGATGATATCAGGGAATTACATTTCCTTAGAGGTGGTAAGTCATAGAATTTGGTTATAAAGGAAGTATGACTATCTAACAGTCAGTATTGTAGTGGTTTGATACGGGTTTATTATATTTATCTTTATTTAAAGGTTTATAGTAGGTTAAATAAACATTCCTTGTAGGTTTATCTTTGTTTTCTTAGTTACCTGCTGATCTCTGTCAAAAGAGTATATTGCTACACTTTAAATTTAAAATTTTTTTAACAGGGTGCATATGGCCCATATTCCCCTGATGAATGCATCTCTCTGCCAATTTACACAAGTGCTGAAAGGGATCGTGTGGTAACCAATATTGATGTTCCATGCGGCGGCAGCCAAGACCAGTGGATTCAGTGTGGAGCAGCTCTATTTCTAAAAAATCAGTAGACAACAAAATGTGTCTTCGCAAAAAGAAAGAATTGTTTAAGCTTTAAAGAAAATACATAGCCAGATGACATCTAAAATGCTGGCTCAGAATATTAATGTATAAGCCACTCTATGCTGTTGATCACCTGGGGTTTCTATAATGTGTAACAGCAGCATTGTGCACCTTCTTCCACAGCAGTAACTTACTGCAGTGAATGTGAAAATTGATACACTTTTAATAACAGTAAGTAGTTCTGTGAGAAAGTTTGCTTTTCCAATGGTCCAAACTTTTAAGACATTTGAAGTGCTGTATTTAAGGAGTATTTTAAATACTATTTTTGTATCATAATTGTTCCAGATACAAGGCTAAAAATCTTTTAATTTTCCAAGGTTTTAAATGCATACATATTCTAAAAACATTAAAGAATGTATATTTTAAAGTTATAAAAAAGTGTATTTTCTGTCTCATCAATTAATAACATAGAAAAGATTCTGTTTCCTAAGAAAATCAACAGAGCAGAAAGGTGATAAGTATGGATGAAATGTTAACAAGAAGAGGAGGAGAGGGCATTTCCAGCTGTTGGAACAACATGAAGACTCTAGAGGAAGTGAAAAGTTATCATAGAAATTTTAAGAAATTAATTAGAATAGAAAGATATAGAGGGTGGGATATGGTAGAAAATTAGTCTGAAAGGTAAATTGAATTGTTCATTAGCACTCAGAATACTACAGAAGAGTTTAGACTTTTACACGAACAATTAGAAAACATGAAAAGATCCAAAAAAGTTAATTTATGTATTAAATGTATTATGTAGATTTAAAGTCTTATTTAAAACTTTACACCTGAGAGTTTATAAAATTCTTTATAGCTTCTCTAAATTTTCTAAACTCGAGGTAGAAGTTCTCACTTCATAGATAAAGATTGAGGCCTAGAGAGTACATGACTTGCCCGAGATTGTCTAAAGATTTTTGCATTTTGTGTTTCTTTGTAGTTAAGTTAATCTTAAAAAGCAGGAATAGACACTTCCCCGCAAAAATTGAGTATGATAACAGTAGAGGGCAGCTTTTTGCTCATTTAATAGTCCAGATGACACGTTCAGTTTGAAGAGTAGTTTCCCTTCCACGTAGTCACAGGAATGGAGACTGATGTCAGTCCTCTCATTTTAGCACATGGCTTTCCAGGCCTGGTACTGAAATTCCATGTGTATTCCTCTATTCTTTTTTCCTTTTACAGCTGACTGGAAAGTTTTGGTGGCATGTCTGGAAATATCAGACATTTTTCTGCTCACATTTCATTGCAACCTAATCATATAGCTATACCTAACTCCTAGGGCGGCTGGGAAGTACAGACAGCTGAGTGAGTGTTCTAATTGCTCTGCTGTAACCCTTCCTATTTAAGAATTTGAACCCATTACTAAAGTATATTCAGTATAACTATACAGAGTTACATTAAAAAGTTAGGCATAGATTTTTGCCTCATTCTAAACCTTAAGAATTTTATAAGTCCTCCTTTATCGATTACAGATATTTTCCAAGATGCCCAGTGAATATTTGAAATTGCTCTTAATATTGAACTGTATGTTTTATCCTGTGACTTTATCTTATAATTCGCCAAAGGAATGTGGAGACCAATAGAAGAAATCTAAGATGATAAATTTCAGTACAGTCACTTGGGACATCGTCTATATTGCTTCATTTGTTCATTTCAATTTTGTCAATATAAAATGTGAATGATTTGTCATTTCCCAGCTGTCTTAGGAAAGGATGAGCACATAGGAGTTATGTCTGTCAGACAAAGAGCATGCAGAGTACAGATAAAAAATAAAGTACTGCAATATGAAGTATATTGAACACAAAATCATCTTACCACTTGTTGTGACTCTCATACGTTATACATTTTGAGGGAAGCACACTTTTCACGTTTTTCCTTATGATACTTGTTTATGTTAGAATTTAATGCACATTCGTTGAATCAATGACTAAAAATTGTGATAATCAGCTTTGTTTCTAAATAATTTTGGATTGTTCCCTGAGTCAAACTCAACAAATGATTACAGTAAATCCTTGTTTCACAAACACTTCTGTTCACAAACAATCCAGTTCTCAAAAACAGAAGAAATTTTGCTTCCTTTCAGAAACTCCAGGTAACAAACACAGCTGTGGCATCTTCCCTAAATAAACACAAATGCTATGCTCGTCCCCAAAATCAGAAAACAAAATTTTTGAACTGAGGTAACACTGTATGTTTTTTCATTGAATTTAGTGGAGGGAGACTGATTAGAGGTTAAGGAAAAGTGAAGGAACAGTTTCCCCAAATAGCTGGGCAAAGATATCATAATTGGATTGTGTCGCTATGTGATTGTTTTAAAAAACAGCTTTGTATAGTCCTTGAACCTAAAGCTTTTGAAACTGAAAAGGACTTTAAGAACTGTCTGGCTGTGTGTTTGTTTCACCTTGCAGTCATGCCCTTAACCCTATCTTCCTTGTGAACTTGAGCTTTTCTAACATTTCTGACAAGAAAAACCTGAGTAGTCGAGGAACCTATGATACAAGAAGTAGAAATACACCTTCTGGGGTCCAAACTCTCAAACGGTTGATCCTCAGTACATCTGAAACTCTTGCAGACATTAAGATTGCAGAATTCTCACTGAAAAATAAATGTATTCTAATAGTTACATTATTGGTAGGACAGAAAAAGATAAAGCTTGTCTGGATGTTGGGAGGAGTGACCTGATTCAGAATTCCTGTCTTCACCTTCAGTGGTACTTTCCATTCATGTAGATATTGTCCTCCGCTTTGGTTTAGAAAGACAGAGAGTAAAACAAGTATCAACTAAAATAATACGCTACAGCAACTGATTAATGATGCATAAATTTGTCCTCTTTCTCCATTTCAAAGAAACTAAGGCAATAAAAATTCATTAAAAAGCAGAGGCAAGAAGGTAGTGTATAATAAGATTCAACACACCAGAGAAATGTCCTTCAATTTACCTTATTTTTTAGAAGTAGATTACCTAAAAGTTAAAGACAAAAGTTTTTGTTTTATTGGAAAAATCACAGGACAGTGAAAATACCAACATATTCCTATATATAGAAAAAGAATGGAATCAAATTAGTCTAACACAGAATTTGATTATTTATTAAACTCAGTGACACCTTTGTGTTTTAGAAATGTAGCTTAATTTCTATTTTAAATAAGTCATTAAAATTGGAAATTATTAGAACATAGCTAGTTCTGATAGTAATGGTTGTATTCTTAACAATTATGTGGCTAAAAAAAATAAGATAATTTTAAAGTGACTGCCCTGTATACAAAGTACATCCTTTTTTTGTTAGAGACTGCTACAGTCCTCTCAATTCTCTTTTCCCCCACTACTGAAGTATTACAATGTTTAATTTGACCATTGCATACTCAGAAGTATTTCACTCCATCTCCATTACATTCACGTTTGGACATGTGCCTTCTGGCCAAAAAACAAACAAAAAATATGAATACAAATATCCAGCAATTTTCAGGTCCTTTTTTTGCAGAGTATGGTCCATCTACCATTTTCTTTGGCTCTTCCTTTATTCTGCAGCTTAGAATATGGGCACTACCATTTTGGACCTAGGTCCTGAGACTGTATGAAACAGATGTTTACTGTGAAATATTTGATTTGTGACTTCATTTGTACAAAAATAATTTTGTACCCTTTGATGGAGTGGCTAAATGCAGGCAGGCTGATGCTATGAACAGACAGGACTGGCTTCCCAAGGCAAGTCTTCCAAAAACGAGAACGAGGCTGCACTGTAAGCTGAAATTGGGTAGGCATGTCCAACTCAATTACAACCTCTTACTGCTGCAGGTCTCTTGGTGGAGGAGGCGATAAGCACAAAACTTTCTATCAGCACTATGTGTGTTGTGGAAGCATTAACATATCTCTCTTCCCCAAACTCTTGCAACTTGTTGACAGTCATGGGAGGGATACAAGTGTGTAAAGAAACATCACCAGTAGATCCTTTAGTCCTCAGAAAGCTTTGGAGGTGGTGCCAAAAATGATTCTGCTCTTGGTTACTTGGTGAAGTTTTCAAGAAGGATCTCTGATTAATTTTTTTCAATGTGATGTTTATGGACAACTTTCCCTGAAATAGATAGGGATCATATATAATTTAAAAGATAGTACAAAATATGTTCTTCAGCCATGGTGATCAATAACATCATATCAACCCTGGAAAGCATTCAAGTCAACTTCTTCTACTCACTGTCCATAATTATAGGGATAATTCTGTCTCTGGGCAAATACAAGTTATATTTGGTTCTGTGTTGGTTTGGTTTGTTTTTTTTGGTACTGGGAATTGAACTCACTTGCCAGGTAGGCACTATGCCACTGAGCTATAATCCTGGTTCTGTTTGGTCTTAATATGATAATTTTAAAAATGTGTATAGGGAGCCTGGACCTCCACCTCAGAGGGTGGCCACTTCAATGCCTGCCCTCCAACCCTCGGGGACATCCGCACCTCCTGTCCTAGTATTGCTGTTGATCTTTAGCTGCCTCTCCTCCCAGAACCTTGGACTGCAGGCATTAACTGTACTGCATTGATGGGAGCTCAGCAACCAGAGGACCTCAGCAGGCTTCTGTCAGTGTGGTGAGTTTGCCCCTAAAATAAAGATCTTCAGTGAATAAACGAGCAGTAATGAAGTCCCTTCCAGCTGTTGGATATTGGCAAGCCTGGAAAGAGTGTGAGTGAGTTCTCCCTCCATACAGAGAACATCAGGTGGGTTGAGGAGTGTGCTGTTAAGACCTCCCTCAACCTGGACAAAATTAAAGGGGCTTATGAGACAGTGTCACAGTAGGTCCCAGCCAAGACAAACACTATAGCTGGGAGATTTGGTGGCCTGGAACATGCTGAAGACCGTAACATCAGAAACTAAGGGCTGACTTACATCAACACTCCTAGGCTAATCAGCCTAGGAAGAAGATAGGACTCACCCAACAGGCCCTTCAGGAGGAAGTCAGGTGACTGGCTCTCCTCTTCATGGTGGTACTCAGCAAATGGACAAATATCAACCACACAGTGGGAACCTAAGATACCCACTGTCGACAATTGAGACAAGTGGGATTGAAAGACCAAATATTAGACCAAAAGGTGAAAATGACAAAATGAAAAAATGCAATCTCAAACATCTAATCAGAAACAAGTACAAGAGACATTGATATAGAGGACACTAAAATTCAAACACCTGGCTAAAGACGAAATCAAATTAGAAATAGTGTCTCATGTAAAGACAGAAACAACAACCTTAATAAAGGAGTTGCTTGACATTGCTAGAGAAGACATAGATAAAAAGTACAGGAGCATGGTAAAATGTTTAAAACCTTGAAAACAAGTAGAATGTATGAAACAAATTCAAAGAGATACCCAAGAAACAAAAAATTCTGTTGAAAGCTGGCAAAATTGTTCAAATGAAGCTGACAATAGAATTTCAGACCTTGAGGACAGGATTACAGTGATCATGAAAGGAAAGAACATTTTAAAATAACAAGGCAGCATGAAATGACAAACAGCTTCGAGATGATCCCAAGAGAAACAATATAGACTAACAGACATCAGTGAAGATGCAGGAGTCAATGTGAATGACATTGGTGACAACTCTTTATAAGGTAATAGCAGAAAATTTCCCGAACATGGGGAAAGAATCTGATACACAGAAAAATGAGGCTTATGTAATGCCAAATGGCCACAACCAACAAAAATCTACACCCAGACAAAGAATAATTAAGATCCTATACATACAGCATAAAAACAATACTAAAAGCCATTAGAGAAAAGACCCAACTCACCTTTCAAGAAAAGCCCATTAGAATCATGGCAGATTTTTCAACATGAACACTCAAGTTAACACAAACTTGGACTGAAGTATTTTAAGCACTTAAAACAACTTTCTACCCAGATTGATGTACCCTGCATAATCTTCCATGACATTTAATGGAGAAATAAGATATTTCTGTGACAAAGAACAACTGAAGAAATTCATGTCAAAAAAAACAATCCTAGAAAGATTATTAAAAAACATACTAGAGAGAGAGAGAAAAATGACTACAATTCCCAGAACAACAGAAAGAAACAAGACATGACAAGCAATTAAACAACAGAGAAAAGCAGAAAACCAACAGCACAAAAATAACATGGCAAAGTTGAGCCAGTGTGTATCAGTTATATCCATCAATGTAAATGGCCTCAATTCACCTATTCAAAGAAATAGGTTGGCAGAATGGATCAAGAAACAAGATCTCACAATATGCTGTATACAAGAAACACATCTGACTCAAAAGGAAGCTCATAAATTAAAAATCAAAGTATTGAAAAGTTTTCCATGCAACAGGAACCCAGAAAAAAGCAGGGGTAACTATTCTATTTGCAGACAATGTGAACATCAAACCAAAAATGATCAAAAGACATAAAGAAGGTCACCACATACTTGTCAGGGGAATAATTCAAGAGGAAGAGTTAACAATCCTAAACATATATGCATCAAATAAAGGAGGACAGAACTATATAAGACAAATACTAGTAGACATGAAAAACCAAATAAGCAACAATACAATTGTAACAGATGACTTTAGTACCACATCGTCACAAAGAAATAGATGAACTGGACAAAAAGTCAGCAAAGAAATAACAGAACTGAATCAAACCTATGAGCAATGGACTTAATAGATGTTTACAGTGTTTAATCCAACCACATCAGCATACACATTCGTCTCAGATGCACATGGGACATTCTCCAAAACAGGCCATATATTAACTCATAAAATATTCTTACGTAAATATAAAGGGATTGAAATAATCCCATTCTCTTTATCTGACAATAATGCACTGAAAGTGGAGATTAATGGCAAAAGAAATTTCAAAACCAGCATACATGAAAATTAAATAACCTCCTGAACAGTCACTGGGGTACAGGCAAAATTAAGAAATTAAGCAAGAAGGACAACGCATTGAAAATACAGATACAACACATTGAAACCTGTGGGACACAATGAAAGCAGTCCTAAGAGGGAAATATATAGCAATAAATTGTCACATCAAGAAAACAAAGCACAAATAAACAACCTAATGGTACATCTCAAGATTCAGCAAGTAAAACCCAAAGCTCACAGAAGAGAGAAAATTATAAAGATCAGGGCAGAAATTAATTGAGTTGAGACTAAGAGAACAATACAAGAATTAATGAATCAAAGAGCTGGATTTTTGAGAGAATAAACAAAATTGATAAGTGTCTAGCCATCCTTATCAAGAAAAAGAATGAAAAAATTCAAACAATAAGGGCTAAAAGAAGAGAAATCACTACAGATCCCATAGATATTCAAAAGATCATGAATACCTACTTTGAAAATCTCTACTCACATAGGGTGGACAACATAGAGGAAATGGACAGACTTCTAGAAATGTATGAACTACCAAAGCTCAATCAAGAAGGTATAACTATGAATGACCAATATCAGTTACTGAAATTGAAAAAGTAATTAAAAACTTAGTAAGGAAGAAAAGCCCATGTCCTGATGGATTCATGGCTGAATTCTATGAGAAATTTAGAGAAGATTTAATGCCAACACTCCTCAAACTCTTCAGTGAAATTGAAAGGGAAGCAATCCTCCCTAACTCAGTCCTGCAGGCAAATATTACTCTAATACCAAAACCAGAGAAAACCCTAATCAAAAAGCAGAACTATAGGCCAGTCATACTACAAACATTGGTGCAAAGATTCTCAGTAAAATACTGGCAAATAAAATGCAGCAAATCATCAAGATTAGACATCATGACCAAGTCAGATTTATCCCAGGAATAAAGGGATGATTTAACATACACAAATCAATAAATGTAATACATCACATCAACAGGGCCAAAACCAAAAGTCACAGGATCATCTCAATAGATGCAGAAAAAGCTTTTGATAAAATCCAACACTTGTTCATGATTAAAAAAAAAAAACCCTACAGAAACTCAGAATAGATGATATCTAACTCAGTCACATAAAGGCCATCTATGACAAACTAACATCCAACATTACACTAAACAGACAAAAACAGAAAGCTTTCACTCTAAAATCAGAACCAAGATAAGGATGTCTGCTATCACCATTCCTGTTCAATATAGTTCTGGAAATATTAGCCAGAGCAATCAGACTAGAGAGAGAAATAAAAGTAATAAAGATAGGAAGAAGTTAAATTTTCACTATTTGCAGACAACATGACACGCTACATAGAAGACCCCAAAACTCCATTAAAAGTCTACTAGAGTTAATAAATTCAGCAGTGTGGCTGGATATAAAGTCAACACTCAAAAATCAATAGCATTTCTGTACACAAACAGAAAACTCAGAGAAATTATGGAAATATTGCCTTTCACAATAGCATCTAAAAAAATGAAATACTTAGGAGTCAACCTAACCAAGAATGTAAAAGACCTATATGCTAAAAATTATACTACTCCAAAAAAGACGATTGTAGAGGATATTAGAAAATGGAAGGATATTCCTTGCTCTTGGTTATGAAGAACCAACATTGTAAAAATGGCCATACTCTCAAAACTGTTATGCAGATTTAATACAATCCCAATCAAAATGCCATTACCATACTCTATGCATCTAGAATAAACATCCCTAAAATTCATTTAGAAACAGAAGAAATCTAGAATAGCAAAGGCAATTCTGAGCAACAAAGGCAAGGCAGGAGGAATCTCAATCCCTCACTTGAAATAACACTACAAACTACAGTGATAAAATTAGCATAGCACTGGCAAAGAAAGGATCAATGGAACATATTAGAAGATAAAAAAATAACTGCATAGATTCTCAGCCACCTTATCTTTGACAGAGGGGCTAACCCTGTTCACTGGAAGAATAGCGTCTTTAATAAATGGTGCTAGAAAAATTGGCTTTCCACATGCTGAAGACTGAAACTAGACTCGTCAATCACCATGCACTAAAGTCAAAATGGATCAAAAATCTAAATATTAAAATAGAAACATGAAATGTACTGGAAGACAAGGTAGGTAGAAGTCTTCAAAATATAGGGGTAGGCAAAGAGTTCATAAACAAAACACAAACTGCACAGGAAGTTCTTCAAAGAATCAACAACTGGGATCTCATATTATTAAAAAGTTTTTGCACTTCAAAAGAAATCACCAACAAAGTGAAAGAAAACCCACAGAATGGGAAAGAATTTTAGCCAGCAATCCCTCAGACAAAGGATTTATATGCAGAAGATAAACTGAAAAACATCAAGACCCTCAAATTCAAAGACCCTCTCTAAAAATGGGGATCTGAGATGAACACACATTTCTCAGATGAAGATGTCCAAATGGCAAATAGATACATGAAGAAATGGTCACCATCACTGGTCATTTGAGAAATGCTAATTAAAACAGCACTGAGATTTCATCTCAACCCGGGAAGAATAGCTGCCATCAAAAAATCAACTGATAGCAAATGTTAGCAAGGTTGTTGGTGGAAGTGTAGACTGATGCAGCCACTGTGGAAATCATTATGGAGATTCCTCAAAAAACTAGGATTGGAAGTTCCATTCAATCCAGCTCTCCCCCTCCTGGGTATTTTCCCAGAAAATGCCATGTCATAACAATATATGTCCCCCCCCATGTTTATAGCAGCACAATGTGTAATACCTAAATCTTAGAAACAACCCAAATGCCCATCAACTGCAGAATGAATGAAAAAGATCTGGTATCTTTATAAAATGAAATATCACTCCACTATATAAAAGACGATCTTGAGGCTTTTATAAGTAAATGGAAGCAACGTGAGACTATCCTTGTAAGTGAAATAAAGCAGTCACATTTGTAAATATTGTATTATCTCTCTAGTATAAAAAATAATAACAAAAAACTGAAAGTAATAAGATCAAAATGTGTAATATTATGAAAGGGATATTATTATAAAGTGAAAGGGAAAGAAAGTGCTCTAAAGTATATAACTGAATATTTGTTTAAATGTGCAAGGTAGATAACCATACTACTAATTTTTTTTAAATCATCAGACAGAATAGTTTGTGTTTTTATTGTTTGAGTGTCCATTTTTTATGCTTTGGTTTTGTAACTTGAACATCTACTTCTAAGATAACCATATGAAATTTATCACTAGTGATTTCTTACTGGTTTTTTTTTTTAAATTCTGTATTATTTCTACCCGCTTTTCTATTTTGCTTTTTCCCTAAATAATATTATGTGTATAGTGTAATGTGAATGAAAAAATATTTTATATAACTTAACCTATGTATATAAAAATCTATTAACATAAATGATTATTTCTGGGTAGAATTATAGAAAATTCTTGTTTTATATGGGGTACACTTTTTTAATGATGAAAATAAATATATTACTTTCACACTCTAAGCTAACCCCTAATTTTTAAAAATATAAAAATTTTAAAAGTATATAAATTTACCTTTCATGTTCCAAGATGAATACCTTCCTACTATTTACAAGCTTCCTAATACATTTGTTATATGACTTAATACCGAAGTTAATTTTATGCAGGTTTTTATAACCTCAGATAAAGGTTCATTGACATTTTGACATGACAAGCATTTGATAAAATTTCTTAAGTTAAAAGCAGAACTGACAGTTCTAGCTTGGCATACATCCATGATCAGAAATTTCGAATAATGACACAGGTGATGAGTCCGCCCTCACACAGTGACAAGAGAGCAGTCTGTGGAGTTACGCCGTGTGGCTTCCAGTCTTAGACTTGTGAACGTGGACTTACTAAGATATCCCATCCTTCTGAGCTTGTTTTATTTATGTAAAAACATGGGGGGGGGGGTCCCATTTCAAAGTATGATGTGAAGATCAAGTAAAATACCATATGACAACATTATGTGAACTGTATCATTTAGATTTGAGGTTCTTGGAATTAGATATGGACTTACATGATAAGATGTTAAAAGATGTGAAAGTTCCACTGCAGGACATGACACAGGGAAAGCTACTCACTTCAGGGCAGCCAGGAAGTAGAGAAAGGCAGAGAGGAAAGGACAAAGCAGACCTTTCAAAGCAACGCCCCCTGTGACTCATTTCATTTAATGAGGCTGCATCTCCCAGTCAGCCCATTAAGCTATGCACTCGTTCATGGACTAAAGCCCTCATCCTCAAGACAACCCATTGGGTCCCAATTCTAAGCACTGCTGCCTTAAGGCTCCAACTCAATAGACGAGTCTCTGGGGCACACTTTATATTTAAACTATGAGTAACCCCAAACAATAACTGTCAGGTAAGTTTATGTGCAAATCCAAAATATTTCTGAAAGAAAAAAAATCAAATTTTTCTTCCTATTAATACACTCAATACAGAACCCTTCTGTGCCCAGTGAATATTTTCCCCATTCACCAAACTATTCTCAGTGGACACCATTAAGTTGTCCTATAAATT